AGTATCTTGTTTAACCAGATTAAGAGTTAATATGTTATTTTGTATACCTTCTGGTTTTGGAGCTGGTAGCTTCACCAAGGTAGATGAATTAAGTAATTCTGTGTGTTCAGGGAGAATATCTGTATTAACAGTATTTTTCTTTAGCTCATTTGATGCAAATGATTCTTGTGACTTGGCTTTTAGGCACACTTCTTTCTCATCATCTAATTTTTTCTTCTGAGATTTTTTTTTGGAAGAGTCTTTTTCCTAGAAAATAACATTTTCAAATTCTAAAGATGTCCTCACTAACCTCATTCTGTTATTAGTCAGTTCTGAATATTTAATTATAACTTTGAGCAGTATATTGGTCAATTTACACAGTTAAAAAATGTTCTAAGCATAACAACCCATACATACTTTAAAGTGTTTTTTTAAAAAGTATTAAGCATATTCAATACATGATGGAAATATTTCAGATCAAAGACTGGTAACAAAATCTTAGATCATTAACTTATGTTAATAACTCAATGATTTACGTATGTTATCTTTTGTTCTTCAGTTTAAATTTTTTTAATGGTTTAAATTTTTTTAATTACCATACTTTTAGTGAAAGTGTAAATTAATCTTCCTTTTTTCTTAAGTATGTTTTCCCAGCAGTCACCTTTCCCGCTCCCTCCCTTAACCTCATTACCTGCCACCCTGCAACCTACCACCCTGCTCAGCATTATCCCCCACTCCTCTATGTTCTTCCTCCAATACCTGATTGTCTTCAGGCAAAGAAAATATTGTTGGAATTGCAGTTTGTTTCAAATATCGAATACCCCATCTGACGTCAAGAGAGTCAGGAGTAAAATGGTCACTACACAGGAACTGGTATTTACTGGGTACCCATGAATCTCGTTTCATATTCTTTAACCATTTTTCAAGTCTTTCTTTGTCATGTAGAGGAAACCTGAAATTAAAAAAGGAAAACTTTGCTGTATTTTTTGCAAATTCCAGGACTGCATATATAGGTAATCTGTGCATTGAGTGCTGCAAAAAAGCAAGGCAACCATCCACACCATATAAGAGCATCTTCATGGCATCACTACATCATCTCTACAGTAAAGATGACTAAGCTATAAGACAAAGCTTTTCAGAAGAATGGCTGATAAGGGCACCTGGGTGGCTCAGACAGTTGAGCATCTGACTCTTGATTTCTGTATAGGTCATGATTTTGGGGTTATGGATCAAGCCCCACATTAGGCTCTGCACTGAGCATGGAGCCTGCTTGAGATTCTCTCTCTCCCTCTACCCCTCCTCCTGCTCCTGCACACACATGCACATGCATGCTCTCTCCTTCTAAATAAATAACATCTTAAAAAAAAAAAAAAAGGCTGGTAAAATATAACAAGTCCCTTTGAGTAAAATATGTGTTCCAATAAAGGATAAAATCTACTCATATTTTCTGTGGATTATATTTTATTTTTATTTTGTTGTATATTTTGCCTGGAACTATATAAATTACAAAGTGCCATTCAAATGTACTCTATACTCACACAACAAGTGAAATGGTGTCCTGTCTGTAATTCAAGGAAGTACTGAACTTTAGGCTCTTATTAACATTTAAAAAATAAGTTGTTAGTTCAAACAAGTGATTCAATTGACAATCACTACTAAATCTTATAAAACCACTAATATTCTATTCACTTTACCACAGTCAGCCTCAATTCTACCCATATGTAATTTAGTCTAGTATTTCTAAACTGAGAACCCTAAAATTCAAGTTTTGAAAGAAAACTGACACAAGAACTAAACAAGTTATAAAGAACACTCAGATATTCTATAACATGAAATAAATGAAGGAGAAAATAGAGAGAAAGGTAAGACAATTCTTTACATGTGTTGTTCCTGTGCCAACAATAACCTTTATTTAGAGTTGGTGCTAACACACTGAAATGTATTTCATAGGCAACCCTGGGCCAATGAAAAAATCTGAGAGAAAATTTTTTCCTACCAGTCTAAAGAGGTTTCAATTAAAACTGTATTAAACAGTTAACACTATTTGTTTCTTTCAATGATTTTATGAGACAGTCTAATATCCTGTTTAAAAAAAAAAAATGGTAACTTAAGGTTTCTCATACAAAAAGCAGCAATTACACATTCCTGCTCAATCCCAGCCATTTAGTTTATGGTTTATAATAGCATGCCTTACCCCATCCCTGCAAATATTGATAACTTTATAAGATGCTAAGGAAAAGGGAGTATGGGTACTTTACAGGAAATAATTTTTAACCCCAATACCCTTATATGGAAAAATCAATGATCTATCTTTGAAGTTCTCACCACAGATACAACATTCATACATGGTTTGAAAATTCCTTAACCTTGCACACATCAAGAATTCAGGTTATAAGTATAAGAGACATAACCAGAAAAGGCATTTAAAGACAAAGAGTTTTTTCAGAGGACCTGAACTCTGTTAGCCATAGAAAAGTACATACATTTACTGCTACATCTAAACTGAGAATATGCCCTTTACAATACTTTCACATGTGATCTCAAGTACAAGGATGCTGTCTGTAAATTATTTCTATTGTTCCTATATACTCTATTACCAAACAATTAAAAAAAAAATCACTCTATGAATATCCTTGTTTGTAACTAGAGTGCAATGCTTTCTCAGCGGGTAAACCTCTAAGCAATCTTCTGGAATAGGTTTCCTAAACAACTTAGTTATCTTTGCAGTAGTTCATTTTGTTCAGTAATTTTGTTTCACCAGCTTATTAATTCCCAAAAAGGCACAAAATAATCACAGTATAAACTCAACACTACATAACTCAACACATAAGCTGAATTCTCAAATTTATATACAGTACAGCTTGCTACAGTGTTAGTATTAACAAATTCAATGCTTCAAGTCTGGAGCTATTAGGGAAATAAAACTGATTCAACTTTTACTTGGCAGATGACACATGGAAATAAAAAAATTCATAAAAAATCCAGTTTCAGTAAATTTACACTTTGAGGGAAAAAAAATCTTTATAATTGACTTCCTCTGACATTATTATTTTTCCCTCCTTAAAAACGGTAACTGTGGAAAGATTTAAAGAATCTGGGAGTCAGGGTTTGGTCATTCCCCACCCCCCCAAAGAAGGCTGAATAAATCTGGGAAATGGGGCTAAATCAAGTTCCACATGATTTTTTTGTTACAAACCTTCAAGAGCCACAGCTTTCGAGATACTAGCATTTCCCCCCAAATCCCTCTCTGCATCTTGTGGGCTTCAACTGGGAAACAATCCTGGAAATACTGCCACATGTGAATTATCTCAGGTTATCAGGTTTCTTCCCACTAGTTAAGATAATGGGAAGCAGGGGCGCCTGGGTGGCTCAGTGGGTTAAAGCCTCTGCCTTAAATTCAGGTCATGGTCCCAGGGTCCTGGCATCGAGCCCCGCACTGGGCTCTCTGCTCAACAGGGAGCCTGCTTCCCTTCCTTTCTCTCTGCCTGCCTCTATGCCTACTTGTGATCTCCGTCAAATAAATAAATAAAATCTTAAAAAAGAAAAAAAGATAATGGAAAGCAACCGTGTCCATCAACAGAGAGCTTCTGGTCTAAAGATAAACAGACTTCACAAAATAGCTGGAAAAAAATCTGGAGAGTTAAAAGACGACCAGGTTAGAGCTAAATGAATTATTTTCACAAACAAGAAAAAAGGAAATAGAGTATTGTAAATATGTTGATTCTCATGTATATTAAGCACGTACGGAATGTCAAGTGCTCCTTTACCTATTTACACACTAAATGAAGTAGGTACGATTAATATCTCCACTTTACAGGTGAAAGATCTTAGGCATAGAGAGTTCAAATAATTTGCAGAAAGACAGTCAGCTACAGAGTAATGGAGCCAGGTTTTGAACCTACTGAGTCTGGCTCTGGAGCCTGGACTCTATAAATTCCTACACAATACTGTTTCCCTGTTCTTCTAAATAAAAATGAGTAATTCTGTGGTTTCACGGAACTATTTCCTGGCAGTAGGAATTTGGCACAACAGTTACCCTGTTCTCTGTACGAATCAAGAGTATATAGAGAGCCCTGAGCAGGAGATAGGTTGTAATTCCGGCTCTCTCACAAAACTTTCAATAACCTTTCTGAAAGCCCTTAGTTTCCTCGGGAGAAAAATGTAATTAAGGAACATCTGTGTAACCTCACAGAAGGAGCAGGTTAACTGTTGGGTGCACCTTGCCGCTTAGCAGGTTTGAGGTGTACCTTAGGTGGTGGTTAACGCCCTTTATGACACAGGAGATCAGCTGAGGTGGGGGAAACACTCCGAAAACCACGGAGCACCGCCCAAACTGCACATTTTTAAGGGCTTCTTTAACACCCCCAAAAGGCCCCTACACCTCGCCAACAGCCCCGTGGGCTTGCTCAGTTAGGACCCATTTCTAGGTAAACTAAATTCGAGCCTTCGCGTCCTCCCCTGGCGCAGTGAAGGAACACGCTGGGAGTGCAGAGGACGAATTTCCAGACACCTCAAACCCCTAGCCCCAGACGCCACAGGACCGTGGTCCAAAGGTAAGGCTGACGCTTCTGCTCCAGGGACAACTTACGGATAAAAACTCAGCTTCCGGTCTTTACTGTTTCGTCCCCGACGGTTCTTACAGCAAATCGCTGCGCAATACCGAGGCATCGCTCGGGTGGGGCCCCCCCAAATCAGGGCCTGCAACAGGGCTCGGGAACCTCCTCGCCAAGATGTAGGGGCAAATCCAGGCCTCACGAGGCACTGCGCCTGCGCTAGAAACGGCCGAGCGGAAAGGCGTCGCAATCGTCGACTCACTTCCGCTTCTGCTGGCTTCAGCACCACCCTTTCTGGAGGTTGGGGCCGGAAGTGATGCACAGGCTGAGCGGCAACAACAGTTTTCCACGTGCGCGTAGGGCGCCAGGGTCAGGTGGAGTAGCAGGAGCCAATCGGGAAGCGTTTCGTGTAGGTCTTCTCCGGAGGTGGCGCCAGCAGCGGCCGCCGGCCAGTGGGGAGCGGGTTGAGAGGGGACGCGGCGGCCACTGGAGGAGTGCTAGGTCTGTGTGCGAGCGGGATTGGGGCGCGCGCCGGCTGCGGGAGGCCTCGGAGACCGGGGCGAGGGGCCGGGCCGTGTGGAGCTGCTCGTCAGTCTGCCGGCGCCTCTTCTGCGGAGGAGCAGCTGCAGTCGGAGGGTGCGGATGAGGGATGAGGCCGGGGTCGCGGGGAGGGTGTTTTGAGCGTCTTCGAGGCCTCGGCCGGTCTTTGTGGCCTGACCTGGCCTCGGCGTCCGCCACGGTCGTCGCAAGGGCTTCAGGCTGCCTGGTGTTGTTGAGGGTTTAGGAAAAAGGAGATGACCAAACCACAGAAAAGGGCGTTTTGTGTTTTGGGTTGGCAGCCGGCTTTTTCGGGCGTCGGACAGCTCCTCCCAGGGCTGGCTTCCGGGCGGAGAAGAGCGGTGAGGGCGGTGCCTGGACGGACCGGACGAGTATCGGTCGTCTTGGGGTGAAGGCTGGACGGTGCAACCCAGCCGGCCGTCGGCTCTGGGAGTAAGGCCCAGGCCGCCGTCCGGTGGGTCCCTCTTGGGGAGAAGTCAGTATAATACGAAAGTGGGCCTACTAAAAAATGTCAGATAGTAAACTTGAGCTGTGGAGTAAGCTTTATTAAAACCAGCAGTGTGCCTCTCTGTCAGTGTTAGACCCGCCCTTTGACTACAAAAGTACCTGCAGTCTTGGTGGCGGCCACCGTACTCGCTCGATTTGCCTTCTTTAAACGAGGAGGTTGTACTTGATCTTTAGTACCCGTGAGTATGAGTAACTCTTTGGAAAGGAGGAATCCATCTGTTAATTATGCTCAGAAGAGGCCACAGGAGAGGAAGGCAGGCAGTTTCCACAAACCATAGTGTCTTTCGTCAGCCTTGTTATGTCATCATAGGTTGTTAACTCCTCGTACAGAGTTCAAAAAACAGGATCACATTCGTTTTGCATCCTAAGTCATTGCATTTATACTATCCAGAATTCTAAGTTGAATTCTTAGATAAAACTTATTTAAGGGGCGCCTGGGTGGCTCAGTGGGTTAAAGCCTCTGCCTTTGGCTCAGGTCATGATCCCAGGGTCCTGGGATTGAGCCCAGCATCAGGCTCTCTGCTCAGCAGGGAGCCTGCTTCCTCCTCTCTCTGCCTGCCTCTCTGTCTACTTGTGATCTCTATCAGATGAATGAATAAAATCTAAAAAAAAAAAAAAAAAAAACTTATTTAAGGTTAGGGAAATATTTAAATGACTTCGGGGAAGTTTGAACATAAGTATTTAACTTATCTAAAGTACAAACTATGAAAGTTTATTTTTCTGGTAGCCTTAGCAGAAATAATTCCATTACGAGTTTTTTTTTTTTTAAGGTTTTATTTATTTATTTGACAAGGGGAGAGAGATCACAAGTAGACAGGCAGGCAGAGAGAGGGGGAGGCAGGCTCCCTGCCGAGCAGAGAGCCCGATGCGGGGCTCGACCCTAGGATCGTGAGATCACGACCTGAACCGAAGGCAGAAGCTTTAACCCACTGAGCCACCCAGGCGCCCCGCCATTACGAGTTTTTAACAAAACCCATTAATACATGTTTTTTGGTTAAATATTTGGGATCTTACAATTAAAAAATCATTACATTCTATCATATTGTCAATATTATTAATATGGTAACTGAGATTCTCTGTTTGCAATCTTTGCTGACCTTGCCGAAATGAAAGCTGAAGTTGGTGCTTTCTTAGGGAGGGAGGAGTACCAGTTCACACATACTGGGCTGTTTATCTTGTACTTTTTTTCCCCTGAAGTAAATACTTTTATTTTTAATCCTCTTAGAATATGGATTCTTGAAAGGAAAATTGACATCCTTTTTAAAATTATTCGGATTTTCCACCCTTTTTACATTGTTTACAAATGATAAGTCTTCACAGTGTCTGTTGGTAAAAAAGTCATTGAATACTTTTTGTTACTGTTCTGTGTATGACCACAGAGTATTAGTGAAAAGGTAAAGTGAAGAAAGATTTTTTTTCTCAATTTGGTTGAATTAACATTTGCATTTAAGAAGGTTACAACCAGGGGCGCCTGGGTGGCTCAGTCTTAAGGGTCTGCCTTCTGCTCAGGTCATGATCCCAGTGTCCTGGGAGTCCTGGGATGGAGCACCACATCCGGCTCCCTGCTTGGTGGGAAACCTGCTTCTCCCTTTCCCTCTGCTGCTCCCCTGCTTGTATTCTCTCTCTTACTATCTCTGTCAAAAAAAAAAAAAAAAAAAAAAAAAGTTACAACCAACATAGAGATAATAAAACCTGTGAAATGAAATAACATGGGAACAAGCACAGGATATTTATTATATGTTTAACATGTTGATACTGCATTAAATATACCTTGTATCCTAAAAGTTCACTGGGTTTTTTTTTTTTTTTAAGAGTTTATTTATTTATTTGATAGAAAGAGACACAGTGAGAGAGAGAACACAAGCAGGGAGAATGGGAGAGGGAGAAGCAGGCTTCCCGCTGAGCAGGCAGCCCGATGCTGGGTTCAACCCAGAACCCTGGGATCATGACCTGAGCTGAAGGCAGATGCTTAAGGCCTGAGCCATCCATGCACCCCACTGGGTTTCTTTTAAAAGAAAAAGTCTTAAGATTAGCTTCATGGATAATTTTTTTTTCTTTTTTAGGATTTTAGAAATGGCTACTCCCCAGTCAGTTTTCGTCTTTGCGATCTGCATTTTAATGATAACGGAATTAATTTTGGCGTCAAAAAGTTACTATGATATCTTAGGTGTGCCAAAATCAGCATCAGAGCGCCAAATCAAGAAAGCTTTTCACAAGTTGGCCATGAAGTACCATCCCGACAAAAATAAGAGCCCTGATGCTGAAGCAAAATTCAGAGAGATTGCAGAAGGTAAGTAAATGGCTATCTCTGAGGTCTCACAGATACTAACTAGTAAGGGAGAATGATAGCTAAGAAGTGTATGTATTTGGAGATACTGCGATGATGGGTGGCAGAATGGGGTCTACATTTAAATAAAGTGAGATTCTTGAGACTATCTTCCTACCACAATTACTTTGATTCCAGGATGGATGGCTGAGTGGTAGGAAGATAGTCTCAAGAATCTCACTTTATTTAAATGTAGACCCCATTCTGCCACCCATCATCGCAGTATCTCCAAATACATACACTTCTTAGCTATCATTCTCCCTTACTAGTTAGTATCTGTGAGACCTCAGAGATAGCCATTTACTTACCTTCTGCAATCTCTCTGAATTTTGCTTCAGCATCAGAGCGCCAAATCAAGAAAGCTTTTCACAAGTTGGCCATGAAGTACCATCCCGACAAAAATAAGAGCCCTGATGCTGAAGCAAAATTCAGAGAGATTGCAGAAGGTAAGTAAATGGCTATCTCTGAGGTCTCACAGATACTAACTAGTAAGGGAGAATGATAGCTAAGAAGTGTATGTATTTGGAGATACTGCGATGATGGGTGGCAGAATGGGGTCTACATTTAAATAAAGTGAGATTCTTGAGACTATCTTCCTACCACAATTACTTTGATTCCAGGATGGATGGCTGAGTGGTAG